AGGCAAATAGCTCTCACAGCTTTTCTTTTGGGGCTTTTCCTTACACGTCTTTTCTGGCCTTAAACACAGTGACCCTCCCATCCCTCTTTTGTGATGCAACACAAAGAATTACTGCAGTGTTTCATATAAACATGTTTCCCTGTCCTTTTCCACCACAGCACCTCACAAGTGCCAGATGGTATCTGAGGGGCTTATCAGCGTGTGGTTCACAGACATTTTATGTAACTCCTACCTTGCTCGCTGATTACACTGATAACAATGGTTAGATCATTGCTGGGCAAAGAAGGAGCAACTAATGACATCCACTTGCACTTGTCCCAACTCATATGGTACTTGACGCTGTTCCACACGACATCTAGACTGGACAGGCATGGATCTGACAAATGGACCACTCGGTGGATAAGGAATTGGCTGGTTGGTCACACTCAGGTCCTCTCCCCTGCACAGCCTTCCTGACCAGCTGTGCTGCAGCGCTTCCTCTGCCTGGTGCTACTGGGTGCCTCCTGAGCCAAGGACACTTGGGACATGTCTGCATCGTGCCATCCTTCACTCACAAGTGCCTCCATGCTCTCATCCTCAAGCTTGAGCCAGCAGGCTTCTCCTCTCTCACAGCTCACATAGCCAGGAGAACACCCATCCTATTACTTTACGAGCAGCCAACCACCTTTAGTATCACTGCAATGAGTGTTTCTGCTGGTCAGGTACTAAGGGTAAATACGCAGTGAGACAATTCCCCACCAGCTGTATTGCATGCTGGTCATCAATACCAATTAAATAGCCATCACTGAGCTCTTCAGGCTTACATCTCTCTCTACCCCCCTCTATTTCTGTCAATGCAGGGTACAAGAAGTGAGGCTCTGCCACCCATGTGAGATGCCAAGGCCTTGGTTCAGTTGCCAACCTGAAGCCTGTGCTCAAACAGGAATGCAGGATGCAGCCCTGCCACTGGCCCCATTGTGGCCATCTCCAGCTCCATCCCTGCCCCATGCACCCAACCCATCCCAAGGGGCCATTTCAGTGCCGCAGTCTCTGTCTGAGGAGGGTTGGGGGGACTTTCTTCAGCCTAGAGAGAGTCTACGTTCTGTGTCAAGGTGCTTGGTGTGCCCACCTCCCTGCCCAGAGCTGTGCAAGCATAACTCCATCCAACACTCAGCTGGAGGGCCGGGCATGGGATGATCTAATACTCGATATGACATTTTCCAGCCTTGCTTCTCTTAGGTTTCAGCACAGCACTTCAAATCCACAGCCGCTGAGTACCACTGCTAGCCAAACACACCGGGTTAGGAAGTGCTGAATGATGAGATGCTAGATCTCAGTGGAAAGTACTGCCACCATTTATTTAGCCAGCAGAACCACATTCAAGACCAAAATGGGATAAAATCTCCTACGCAGGAGGAGGAGGTGCTAGAGAAACCCTCAAGTACCAGCAAGCTGTTGGTGCTGGGCACCAGCCTTGCACATGTAGCCTGTGCCCATCCCTCAGCCCCACAGGCTGGCCCCGCTCCTCCTGGCCAGGCTGCACAGCCCCCACATGTCCTGCCTCTGCTGATACCCGCTGCTGATTCCGTGGCCTGAAACCTACAGGTAATACCATTTGGGTTTCATTCTCTCTTGCTCTCTGTGAACTGTTGCTCAGGGTCCTGCTGTGGCTGGAGGGGGGCAGAGGAGCATCAGGTACCTGGTTTCTGCGGGGCAGCGCAGTCCCTGTGATGCAGACATCAATGCAGTAGGTTGTCGTCTCTTTCGGTCTCTGTTCTTACTCCAGGGTATTCTCTGGGTAGTTTACCTGGAAGATCACAGCATGTTATTTCCTAACAGGGGCTGGGAACTGGAACCTAAATTCATCCCAACATGGGGAACAAGTGATTCAAAAGATTCCTTTTTTTTTTTTTTACTAAGAACCCTTGCATCCACTTCCAGGGTCTTTCAAAGCAGTTCTGTGGTTAGGGTGATGACACTACTGCTTTCAAGGGATGCAGTGACAGATGAGCCTGAAAGAACACACATTTCAAAAAAGGAAAAGAACAAAGTGCTGTGCCTTAGATCATTGTGTTTGAGAGCTGTGAACAACAACAGCAAGGTCAGAGCAGGCAGTTTCCAGATTTCTTTATGCTGTTTGGTAACAGAGAGGAAAAGCCCCTCAACTAGGTGCTGTGGCCCTCACCTAGAGCTCTTCTGCCACAGAGGCAGTGTGTCCGCTCACTCTTTCAGGCTGTGCTTCCCTCCCAGGTCAGCTTGCTGCACAAGGCCTGGCCAGCAGCGCCCACGGTTAGATTAACACTCCTGTTGAATGTCTATTCTCATACCTGCGCAACATATGCATTAAATCTTTGCTGATAGCTACCCATTCCTTTTAGACAGAAAATCAGGGCTGTTGCCACAGATGTGGCAGGTTTGAAGGCAGTTGATGCAGAAGATGCCATGCTGTACACCATGCTTCCCACCCCATTCTCCTTCTTCTTCTCCCTCTGCTCAGTTCAGGTCCCTCCCTTCACCCACCACAGCTCCTGTGGTGTCCTTAGTCATTTCATCTACCACATTCACCCTTCACCCCTCTGGTATCTGCTCACTTCTGAGCTCCCCACACAAGGAAGGAAGAGGAGTTTACATGCAAGGGGTCTGGTGCATCTGCTTCTCCACGGGCATCCTGCTGGGAAAAACACTGGACATTTGCCACTACGGTGCTACTGTGACACCCACAGTGCCTTCAGCCTCTGCCTTGCTTCTCTTCCTCCACGCTCTGTTAAGGGTCTGGAAGAAGCCTGATACTTGTTGAGCTGCTGGAGGAAACAAGCCCACCCTGGCCTTCCATGGTGGAGGACAGCTACTGCCTAGTTCTCCCCACTCTGTGGTGGGGGGGAAAGCAGGACACACCCTGCAGTACTGCTGACCTTGCCCATCAAGCCCCGGCCTGTTCATGGTCCTCCAGCAGCAGCAAGATGCTGTTTTACAGACATCTACATCCTTTTCTCACAGCTGTATGTTGCTGCCTAGCTCCTCTGATGCTGCAGCCACCTTATCTACCCCACCTTGAGCATTTCCAGCAGCCACAGGATATGCTAGCTTATCAAACTGCATCTCTTTAAAGATACCTTGTGCTCAGCCATACCCCATCTGTGCTACGTGACCTGCTTTAAAATTCTTTGCTCATTTCTTCCCTCCTCCCACCAGTCTCTGATCTGCCTGGAGCACTTGTGAGCCCTGATGCTGGGAACTGCATTTGGGCCACATCTCCAGCTCTAAGGGTGGTGGCAGCCACAGCCCTTTCGTGCAGCAGAGCACACCAGCACAGAGGCTGCTGCTGGCATTGCAGACCAGGGCTGATGAATGAAAAACAACCTGGGCATCAGCCATGCAAGCAAAGGCATCTGCCTCATGCAATTAGAGAGCATAACGATGTGGCAGCTCCAGCCTTTCATGTGAGGTATTTCCCTACTGCTACTTACTGTAGTTCAGACGTCTTCCTTGGGTGACAACTTCCTTCCAGGGCACAGGCAGCGAGCAGCAAGCCTCTGTTGGGAAACCCAGACCTGAGCATACAAGAACTGGAGAGAGCTCCATGCAGGAGTCACATTAGTGCCTTTGAGTGCCCAAGACATTTACATTTTCCCCAGCAATTGAGTTATTTGTGTGTTTATCGGTTATTTAAGTCTGATCTTGCAGGCAGTGCTCTCACCAACTTACCACAAGGAGGTTTCAATTGCTTGCAGAAGCAAATAACTGCTTAACCAGGCATGTTCGGTCATGGTGTTCCTTCCTAAACCTCTGAAAGCTGTAGGATTTCACCAGATCGCTCACCACTTCAGTCTCCTGTTAGAATGGCAAAAAAACCATACTTCAAATTAAAAGGTTAAATTCTTTCCAAAGTGAATTTAGGGGCAAGCAGAAATTCAGTGACATATACACAGAATCACCATTTTACAGAACTCTTCCTTCTGTGTGCCACATACAGCCACTTTGCACAGGATGGGGTCTGATGAAAGCTGATTTTTATCAGCCCACAAACTCACACTCTTCACATAACCAATATTCTTGCAGCCAGTATGACAGAGACTCAGTAGCTACTACTTACATCTCATGGATTTCCCAGGGTGGCAGAATGCGTGACTCGATCAGGAACCATCTAATACAGCTCTCAAAGGCAAGTTCCTTGTTTTGCACTGGTGTTTCCTCTTTCAAAGTGTGTCTGTCTGCTTTATATCTACAGAATCATACTCTCTCCTGGTCTTAAAATCAGCTTAATCCACCCCAAATTCCCCTTCCAAGGAGGTGGACAGCTACATGCCTCACTCACTCACTTAGGGTTTCAAGCGTGCCTTTGGGATGCAGGAACTCAGATTCAGCTCTTTTCCTCAGCTTTGAGCAGGAGCTTCAGGTTTGCAAGGCAGCCCAAAGGCTCAGAAACCTGCCCAGTTAGAGCCAGAGCACGAGCATGTCTACCAAGAAACATCTGCTATGCCCTTGCAGGCCTTCACCCCACTAGTCTGTCTTCCAAGCCAGCATATCTCATATAAGAGCTTTCGTTCGTGGGTTGTGCTGGGCTGCAATCCCTGCCTAGCTCATACCCAGGCAAAGGGTAATCTTACCTCATTTGCACAGCCTGGCCTAAGGAATCACATTGTGACAGGGTGCCTTCACTGTCTATGGGGGTTCTTCTCAGTGCTATTCTGCCCCTCCACTGAAGATACCACTATTTAATAAAGACTGCCTGCCATGTCCTATTGGAAGTGTACTTTGAGATATTTACTCCTAAACTGAGTAAACATAAACAAAGCTTGACAAAGGATGCATCCCAGTTACAGACTGACTGAGAAGGCCAGCTTTGTAGACTCAAATACACATTTGTGATGCGCAAAATAAATATTCACTTAAACATCTTTTAATTTTGTTTTATAGGACATGCATCTATTAAGATGCATTAAGAGATAGGACGAAAGTCTTACCATGTCTTTTCCTATTTCAGGTCTCAGAACATCATACAACATCTACACAACAGGACAATGAATGTGTCCAACAACTGCAGTATCACAAGTCTAGAACTTTATCAGCATGTCCGCCTCATTGAATTTGCTCTGTATAACTTCATTTTCTTTTCTGGAGCTCTATTTAATGCCCTTGCCCTCTGGGTGTTCTTCTGCAAGATGAAGAAGTGGACAGAAACAAGGGTGTATGTAATCAACTTAGTCTTTGCAGACTGCTTTGTCATCTGCACCTTGCCTTTCATGGCTTATTTGCTCTGGAATAAGTCAACCCGAGGTGAACTCTGCCAGTTTATAGAGACTACGTATTTCATCAACATGTTAGTGAGTATCTATGTAATTTCATTTATCTCTATTGATCGATACATTGCCATAAAGCACCCCTTGAAAGCCAGGACCTTCAGGTCTCCATCAAAGGCAGCCCTTCTCTGTGGGCTTCTGTGGGTCTCTGTGATAATTGGTGCCACTGCACAGATTTGGCAGAGCAAATCCACCCTCTGCTTCCAGAAGGATACCACAGTGCCTGCTGCTCTGAGCCTGCTTTCCATGTTCTTCATTTTTATTCTTCCATTAGTAATCTTGACTTTCTGCTCCACAGAAGTGATCAGGAGCCTTAAAAGATGCCTGAACACAAATTCACCAGAGGAGAAATCAATCCAGAAAGCTGTTCGCATTATTTACGCAAATCTGATTGTATTTCTAATATGTTTTCTACCAGCCTTCTTTGGATTACTTGCCAGCTTCATAATGGATATTATTGGAGCTACCTGTTTCATGCTCCAGGTTATGAAGAACATCTCCTCCATGACAAGGTGTATTGCCACATCTAATTGCTGCCTAGATAGTGTCTGCTACTACTTCGTGACCAGGGAGTTCCATGAAGCCCTTCTGCCACCCAAAACCAGCAGTGAAAAAACAGATCAAATCCACCCCTTGCAGACACACACTTGCTAAAGCAAAGGGGGGAGGGGGGGAGGAGGCAAGAGGAATGAAAAACAGCACCCCACATCATCTCTGCAACATCAAGACAAGATACACCTTCAGTGTTACTGGGATAACTGTTGCTCTTTCC